GTTGGGGGTCTCTTGTGATGAGGAGATAAAAGAAATCGCAATGTCTCAGATTGTTACTGATTTTATTGCATTATCTGAACAGAAATAAAACCACTTTCTATACAATGTATTTGGCACCTTCGATGTCGCAGTTCTCGCTCGGGGACGCTGCGGTCCTTGTATTCCGAGTCCGTCGCGGTATTCTGTCTGATTGTGAAATGGTCTCCGGGAAGAGATCCGAGGACCGACGTGATCAGTACACTGACATTGAATAGAGACGTCTCCATGCTTGTGATCACAGTCCATGTACCCATTGCACTCCTTACCGCTAATCCATAGTAATACCGCGTTTCCCCCGAAAGTAAGACCTAGTTCGGTGGCAGGTCTTATATTACAGAGATCCGCTAGGTCTTACTTTCGGGGGAACTGCACATAAACTGTGTAAAGACCGGCCGCAGCTCCCGCCCACAAGCGAGCCTACAGCAGTTCCAGCCCCGCCCACACGCCAGCCGGCCGCAGCTCCTGCCCCTCCCACACGCCAGCCGCAGCTCCCGCCTACACGCCCGCCAGCCGCAGCTCCCGCCCACACGCCCGCCGGCCGCAGCTCACGCACGCACGATGGAAGCGACATCCGCCGGGACCGGCAACAGCACGCCGCCTTCCGGACCTCGTCCAGTCCTCCCCCAGCCAGGTAAGACATCCCCCGAAAATAAGACCTAGTGTCTTATTTCGTGCCAAAAAAAAAAAAAAGACAATGTCTTATTTTCGGGGAAACGCGGTAGGTTGGGTGCATCAGTAGTCGACGGCTGGCCACCGTCTAAGTAGTATAAAGAAATGATGGACACCGGCACTCCAAGATAGAATAACGTCTTTTTATTGACGTATGCAACAGTACACATATTGCAACGTTTCGGGGTCACACAGGATCCCCTTCATCAGGCAGAACAAGTGCTTGTGGCGACGTGAGACGGCGGACGGTCTCCTTCTGTCTGCCGCAGCTTCCTGGAAACCAGAACGTTCTCGGTGATGTCATCGCGTTTCCTGTCTGTACTGATTGTGCAGATTAAACTCGGAGAGATGAAAGCTTCAGAATGTCACGCGGAGCCCAAAACAGAGTTCAGATCCATCAGGTGCCGGGCGCGTCTGAGGGCTAAACTCTGATTTTTAGATGGAAACCG